ATATATTTAAGGTTAAATTACAAAGTTTACCGTCTAACCTTTTAGAGGTATGTCTATTAAGTCACTGAATTAAGTGGCTAGTAAATCTTTGAACTTAAAAAAAGTGTCGTAAGAGATCTTTGAACTTTCAAGGTCCCTAACTAATTTGTCGTCTAATGGGTCCGGTCCACATATTTTATAAAATATCTAATAAAAGATCTAATAGGTCGGAGGTCTTACGCGATTTTTAAAGTTTAAGACCCTGTGAGGAACTTTTTAAAGTTCAAATAATCCATTACTCACGACTTATAAGACACAACTTTGAAAGTTTGAGACCTACTAAATATTTTTCAAGGTACGTGCAACTATTAAACACAACTTTGAGCATTTAGGACCAAACTTGTAACTTAACTCATAATTAATCTACTTCTCATCCTCATTAAGGAATTCAAATATGGAAAGTCACCTCGAATCCTGAAATATCAGGAAGATTTCAAAACCCAATTGCAAAGAAAAACAAAAGTTAACAGATAAAATTTCAGAAGAAAAACCGCAGAAATGCATCATAAGAAGCGGAAAACAAAGTGGAAGCAAGTGATGGGGATGAGTACCAGTGGGGCGAGGGCCACCGCATTGAGGAAGTCGAATGAAGCTGCCAATGCCAGAGACAGATCCAAGCGGTAAAAGTGCCATGGAATCCACTTCGTCAATCGCCATTGCCATCGCCATCGCCATATTTCCAGACTTTGATCCTGCTTCACCACAAAACGAGAATTGCTACGGTTAAAACCCTAGAAATTGATCAACGATTCTTCAAGCGAAACTGGTGTAGTTTCGGAATCAGGGAGAAAACAGAATGATTTGAAGGAAATTACCTATTATTCTGAAACCTGCAGAAATCAAAGCGCCAAGGAGGAGTAGAGAAAGGGAGCAAAACGTGGAGAAGAGTGACGAAGCCATGAGGTTGTAGAGAAATCCATCTACAGCGATTTCTTTGAATCTTAATAGTGGAAATCATACATGCTTCTGCGGTTGGCAAATTGACTTCTGCGGAGCTTGTCCACAGACTTCCATTGGAAAATTCTACGAACATTTCACACGGTACTGATGTTGAAAGCTGAACTCTCGAAAATTCTTGAGAACGAGGTGAACGTGTTCGGGAAATGGACTCAAATAACCTCCTCAGCTTTCATTTCGCTCAAATACGAATGATCACTGTATTATTTTAATGAATTTTAAAATTTTTGAAATTACGTTTATACCCTCAATTAAAAAACAATTGTTGCGCTTCGTTTCCCCTCGTTCTTTTTTCGTGTGCGCGCTTCATCTTCTTCTGTTCGTTTTCTATCTTTCTCTTCTCGTGCAAGAAAAGACGTTGGTTCTTTGTGGATTTCTTCCGTTGTGCCATTGGAGACTCATTTTCTTCCGTTGCGTGTCTCACCCGCGAAATCGAGGTTACAATTTCCCTAATTTACACTTTTAGTTAGGGGTTTCTCTGATCATACACTCCATTAGATTTCTCGGAGCACGATCTCATCCGAGAGGCCCCGAAAAATTTAACAGAACCTAAAGTGAAAAATCGAGATTCTCAGGTGAAATCTCCTTCTTCTACGGGATCTCGTGCGAATTTTCATAATATAAAAATCAAATATACATCTCGGGCGAAAATACTTATATTCGCCGCGAGAATCATCAAAAAAATTCAGCAACAAATGTCAAAACCAACACATTGTACACAAAGGAAAAATAAAGAAAACACAGATGCAATCTATTTCCACGAAATAAAGAATATATATATATATATATAAAAAGGCAGAGATGCATATGTGCGATTTTATACACAAAAACAAATCATCAGTTTCTAAAGGAAATATCACCTACCTCGTTGGTGGTGAAAAAATTTATTCTTCTGAGTGGTTCAGATTCAGTAACGTACAATATTCTTATTGTTCTTCTAAGAGTTCGGTACAAAATGCACGGATGAATAGAGTTTCCTAGGAATTGTTAGCTCAACATTAAATATGTGGGGAAGTTAGGTGTTTGCATTAATTGAAACAACTTCAATTTTCGAACGAGACAATTACGTTTCAGGATCGTGAATTTAATGTAGGTCAAGCACATTTCTCGCCTAAATCTCGCCCCACAATCAAGAAATTCATTCTTGTTACGCTAACTCATGTGGATAGAAGACCTATAAGGAGGTCAACCAAATTACAATCAGCAACGGGATCCGCAAAATCTTCAAGACCTTCCAATTTGTTGACTATTACTTACATATGAGAAAAAGCTGATGTAGGTCATTTAAAACAAATTTTGAGGGGTGGATTATTTGTTTTATAGGAAGATTATTTGAGTCAATTTCCCAACGTGTTCGTTGGATTCGGAAAATTGACAGAAATGACCCAAAATAGTTCCCACGAATGTTATTTTTAAAATAAAATATTTCTATAATTCTGATGACTTAATAAATTGTAACATGATTTTCGAATAGGAACAATACTTACATTTATCGGAAAAGCAGTTTCGATAAATTATGTTCGCGAAGAAATAATAATTCGAATTATTCTTAGATAGACTCAGTTGAATTTTGATGGGTTTGTTTATTTAAGATTAAGCTCATTCGATTAAACTAACTTGCACTGGAATCAAATGAATTTTTCACCTTAAATCATCTCAATAAATTCCCTCTAAACTCTATTTCTTTTTTCAATGGATTAATTAAAGGTACTTTTTAAGATTTTTAAAAATAAAAAATGGTTTAGAACTTTATAACGAAGATAAAAATACTTGGAGACTGTTTGGTTTGAGATTTCAAAAAGTAGTATGAGATTACGATATCTTATATGGAAATAAGATATCTGAAAATCGAAGATAATTGTGATGGGTAATTTACGAGAATATCATCAAATTTTCATGAAAATAAATTATATATATGTTTTTTTTTATTACTCTAAAAATTTTGTTACGATAGACATTTATTAATAGCTAATCAAATTGAATTATTATTAAATATTTTATATTAATTATGTCTAATTATTGAATTATTTCTAATATAATATACTTTGATTCAATTCAACCCAGTTTTATCTTTTTATTTAGTTTTCATTAATTTGTAAAAAATGATTTACATCAATTAAGTTTAATTAGTAAATTGATGGTAAATAGTGTTATTTAAGTTATTGTAGTTAATAATTTAAAATCAATCTATTGAATTAGTTTTATTTAATAATCCATTTTAATTTATTAAATTATATCTAAAGTATAAATCATATAAAATTTATTTTCGAAAAGAAAATCACATAAATTTTATATTCTAGTTATACCGAACAACTAAGCACAACGATCTATTGAATAAATAATGCTAAATGTTATTTAACTAAACTCTAATATATACCTGTATAATTAATTAGTACAAATTTTATTTAAAAAATTAGTATACATTTTTATTGGAAAACTTTAAAAATATATATTTGAGTTAAAAATATTTAAATAATTGAAATTCCCAAATTTATTAAATTAGTATAACAAAAATGTATTATAATTAATTAGAGGCTTTTGTATGTTGTTAAAAAGATAAACTTACCCACTTTAGCATAATTCATCGCTAATTGACATACATCTTTAACTAAGAGATGTGAGTTCGATCTCCCACCTCTACATGTTGTACTAAGAAGAAGAAAAAAAACCATGAAAATGGAAGGATAAAGTATTAAAAACTGTTTACCAAACATGAGAAGTGATGGAAGTAGGCTCTCGTCGTCAGCCAGACATGACTAGGGAGGATTGTTGGTTTTGTAAAGTATGGAAACAAATTCATACATTGATCAGGGGATAGAGTGATCATATAATAAAGATAATTATCTTCATCTGGACCTTTTGGGTGGAATCAAAAAGAAGTCGTAAGACTCAAAATAGACAATAGAGATACTTTAGTTACTTATGCTATCGCTGTCCTTAACAAATCTCCAACCAAAGGATTTTTAAAGTGCTTCTAGAAAAAGCATTTAACTATTTTTCTTCTAAAAATGCTTATATAATACTTTTATTTTAATATAACATGTGGGGTTGGAAGATCGAACTCACAACCTCTGAAAATATATGTCAATTATCGCGCAACTATGTTCGCTCAGGCAAAAAAAATATTTATATAATACTTGGAAACACTTTTCTAAAATCATGCCAAACCACATCCAGATACATTCTCTCAGCTGCTAAACAGAAACCTCATCTGGGAAAGATAAGAATAAGCCAACATTATTTTGTTTCAAGTACATGTAGAGATTTGAACCTCCAATTTTTTCGCCAACGATATATACTTTTATAGTTATGAGCATAGAGAGTATTCCTATTTCAATAGTAAAAAGTAGATATTTTTATTTACCTAATAATACATTACAATTGAAGCCTAGAGATTCAAACCTTCAAACTAATGTCTTAATCAGTTAAAACATACCATACGACTCTTAAAGTCTTAACTGAAACTAAGTTGGTACTTCGGTTTCTTATTAGGTGTGAATAAACCAAAATGTTTCTCTATTTCAGGGGGCTTCAAATTTTCATCGAACATAGAAAACAGATAAGTTTCAATAGCTCTTCCAGGCCTTCTCGGCGTCCCACTTTGGACAAAGTTAATCAAATTTCTATAGTATGTACCTGCATTCTCAATCGTAGCAGCAGTCCCTTCGCTAGATGGCCAACCGCTCTCCGATATCACGATCGACACTTCGTTTCCACCTGACTTCTCAAGAGCAGCGTAAAGAGCATCAACCATTGATTCAAAAAGGCTGTTGTACATGAAATTGCCATCTCTTATTGCAAGAGCTGGCGATTGCATGAACAGAGCATAGTCAAGGCTGATGGTTCGGGCGATATCCGTGTAAGTGAAGTAGGGATACACATTAGCAAGAAGTGGTGAACCATTCTCAGCCAGGAAGCTAACAATTGGTTCGATAAATCCACGAGCCTCGGAGCTAAATGAGCCGATAGATGGAGGAAATGAGGAGTTGGACAACAAGCTGATGGATATTACTGTGGAAACCTTTATTTGATCCTGCAAATTGGCTGCTGAAATTGCACCATAAATGCTTCTTATGGCCGGTAGGACATAACCAGCGAAAGAATCAGATGGATGGACATCATTTCCGATGGCGATGTATCGAAATTTGACATGCGATATGTAGGCTTGAATGTTCCTTTGGACCCAGTTTGCTGCAGAAGAAAGATTAACAACATGTTCAAGGTCGGTATTTGGGATACCTACAACGACTTCTATGTTCGATCCTTGGAGAGCATTTAGTATTGCTTCACTTGGATTGTAAATCCTCATCTTTCCTATGCTATTGTTTTTGTATAGTTGTACTACTTCTGTGGCACTTGGTAAGTTGCTGCCTGAGCTTGCATAGCAAACACCAACGGATTCTGCAACTGCAACCATATGAATGTAGCATTTGATCAATTCGAAAGGCAGAAAACACAAACTCAAGCAGCATAAGTTGTTAAGCCCGCCCAAATCGAATGGTTGCAGTTGACAACAATTCGACTCATTTTATATCATCAACAGATTTGCCAAGAAACATGCAACAATAATTGAAGAGAAAGGAAAATACAGTTTTTTAGTATGAGAAACGTTTGAAAAAATCAAACTCAGTTAGATATATTCGGTAGGATGGGTGGAAATGTGACACTCATGTGCTCACTCAGTCCTCTTGATGTCCTCTGAAATGGAAAGTTCTTCTTCTCCGTTTGATCTTCAAAGTTCGTTCAAGTCCTACGAGTTGAAACCTTAGACTCTGTATGATAACCATTTAGTTTTTTATTTTCTGTTCTTAAAAATTAAGCTTAGAAACGTTACTTTCATCTAGGTGTTGCTTTAGTTTTTATAAACATTTTCAAAATCTAAGCCAAATTTTGAAGACCAAAAAGGTTTTGACTAAGAATTCAAATATGTTTTCAAGAGAGGTATACTATCGAAGTTGTACAAAAAAACTAGCATAAATTTTAAAAACACGAAATAGTAACCAAACAGAGTTTTAACAACACAAAACTTCATCTTGTTGTATCCAGAGTTGGGTTCGAGTGGGCAAAGCCTCTCGAGATTAGAGAGTGAGTCATGAGCACAATGCAACGGGTGGAGCTCGATACCCGGTTATAAAAATAAAGGAAAAGATTAAGAAACTCAAATATGGAAATTTGCCATGGATCCCAAAATATCAAGAAGATTCTAAATCCTATTGTTTACATCTGAAATCTCAAAAGCTAACCTATAAATGCAGAAGAAAAACCACAAAAATGCACATCCATAAGAACAGGAAAGCAAAGTAGAAACAACTGAAGGGAAAAAAGTACCAGTGGGGCGAGGGCCACCGCATTGAGGAAGTCGAACGAAGCTGTCAATGCCAGAGGCAGATCCAAACGGCAAAAGAGCCATGGAATCCACTTCTTCAATCGCCAACGCCATCGCCATATTTCCCGATTTCAGTCCTGTTTCACCATAAAACGAGAATCTTTACAACTAAAACCCCAGAAAATTTGTGCCAAATGATCAGAGATTCGCCATAATTGATTTTTCCCTTCATCTTCTCGAAACCATGGAGAAAACAGAAAGATCAAAGGAAATTACCGAATATTCGGAAACCTGCAGAAATCAAAGCCCCGAGCAACAGTAGCGAAACGGAGCAGAACTTGGAGAAGATCGATGAAGCCATGAGCCGGCACTCAAGGGATCCAGAAAACCATCTGCTTCGCAATTCCGAAAGAGAGAACCCTGAAACCTGCTTAATGTTGGCGATTTCTTTGAGTCTTAATTGTGAAAATGATACGTCGCTTCTGCTGTTGACTCATTGACTTGTGTGGAGCTTGTCCCCAAGCTTCCATGGCGAATTAATGCAACTGGAAACTGACACGGTGTTGAAGGTTGACGCATTGAAAACCCCATAGGAGAGCTTTGAAGAAAATTGAGTGAATGCTTTGGTGGATGAATTTGAGCCTCTGGCTGGTGGAGAAACGGGACGGGGTTGAGTATGAACAAAGTAAGTATCAAATTCTGTTATTTTAGAACTTTAAATTCAATCTCCAACCTTTAAAATTTATTAAAAAATGTAACCAATACTTTTTTCAGTACACAGCGGGAGAGCGACAGATCCAACTTAACCTCTTTGATCAGAGATATATGTCTTTGATTAAAAAAAGAAAATACTTATACTCTTTAAATGTTTGACAAATGAATTGCAAAAACAAATTTTTTTTATTTTTAAGATAAGATGAGTTATCAATTTTTAAATCGCGACAAGGACAAGATTTGGTTATTACCCTCGGGATATTATCTTCAAAAAGACACTTTTTCATTAAAAAAAATTATAAGAAAATGGAGTGGCATGATTTGGACCATGAATTATCACGATGGAGGCACAAGTGACTATAAAATTTCTGGAAGTATTTTTTTTACCCTACGATTTTGTCTTTATAAATTATTTTTTAATATTGATTGATCTCATATCATTTTTATACATGCTAAAATAACAGATAGTAAATGAAAGAAGTATTCATACACGTAGTGTTGAAATATTTCTCGTCAAGTGAATATGAGTATGAATTGTTCCATTTGTACTTCTGGGTTAAGATTTCATTTATATCCCTATAATTTAAGAACTATCATTTAACCATTAAAATTGTTTGAAAATAACTCATCTTTCATCTTAAAATGAAGATGAATATCTAATGTGAGAGTGAGATGTGTAAAAAATTGAAGGGTTTTAGACTCATTAAAAATTGGTGGGTGTCATTTGAGGGGAAACAATTTTGGAAGTTATGATATAATATTGTTCCTTCTCTCATAATCAAAAGATTTAGGAAGAAATAAAATCTTCGATGGGGCAAGCAAACCATAGACGACAGACAAAATTTGGGGCCTCGGTTTCCTATGTGACAAAGATTAGGGCTTATGAATAAATCCAAGACAACTAAGCTTAGGACCACAAGTTACTTCTTAATTAAATTTCTTACTTTGGGTAGAGACACACAAAACTGTGTGTCTATACTAGTCATTTTTTTTTCTTTTTCTTTTCGGTGTTATCCTACGCCCCATACTTTTCACGAACCATTCTTCTACAATTTTTCTCTTCGGAACATATTCATCCAGCAAAGCTTTATCTCTAGATCCTATGATTTTTCTCGATGTGTGTCGTGTCTTCTTCATTATTGATTAATTCTTCCTTATTTCTTGTTTTTCTTCTTGAAAAAAAATTATATATATATATATATTCTAATTTCATCAAAGTGTATAGCTCGATGGTAATTGAAATATGTCTCTAATCAAGAGGCTGTGAGTTTGATCTCCCACTCCATATGTGGTAGTAAAAAAATATATATGTTATAATTTTTAGTTCCTATTTATATTTTTCAATCACATTAATAAAAATATTATTTATCATTTTCTTACTCATCAAATGTATAATAAACATTTTAAAAAACAATATAAAACAGTAAGTTTAAATATTTTATTTTTAAAAAAATTCATGTAAAACTTTGATTTTCCCCTTAATTTAACTTAGATCGGACAAGAAGGAAAAAAAAAAGAAATGATTAACAAACCCATTTGTTTTCACTAAAAAAAATATAAATAAATAAGAAACAATAAATAAATATTATTGAACAACTTATGAGTTATGACTCACTTAATAGGGTTTAGTTGATATTTTTGTTGTTTAAAAAAATTGGACATTTTTGTAAGAAAATTAACCGGACCGGAATTACACTCATCCACACGGTGACCTTTTTATTTATTTATGCAAGCTTTCGTATTGTAATATATGTTTGTTCTATTTGAATTTCAGAAATCAGAGTGATTTAAGTTAATTTTTTTTCCGAATCAATTTTTCATTCAAATGGATATCAACCATTTGACGTCGTTATGATAAACTATAGTTCTAATTTTTAGTATTGTCTTCGATTGATGAGAGTTTTGGAGAGGTCCACATGTCCTTCGAAATGAGCTGTCGACAGATAAATGAGCCTACAACGATGATTCTCGACACGGGTGCAGTGTATCGCCTAATAAACTCCGACACTCAAGTTAATAATCGAAGAGAAATGTAGTAGAAATTAAAACACCATCAGAAATTAGTGACAATTTTTTCACTTACTTCGTGGTAGTGGTGGTTCTCCCTTTTTATAGATGCTTGTGGCCGACCAGGAATGACGTTTCGTATGTGGCACAAAGGAGGCTCGTCGTGGTACGATAGTCTGACGAACAGGCAAGGGCATTCCTTGGACTGCGATGGTTGTCCTGCCGCCAAACTGGCATCCCTAGGCCACTGCGTGCTTCCAGTACCACGTAGCAGGCATGCATGCCTCGTCCTCCCTTAGTCGTATGCTCCATGTAGTCCGCAGCCCCCCACCTCCGGTTGTCCTCCCTCAAATCTCACATGCCTCCTACTACTCTCAATAGTCTTCATTCTAACTAGTATATATCAAGTCTCCCATATACCATATACCAACACGATAATTTAAAATCAAACTAATGTCACTACTATAATCGAGTGCATGAGTAATTTACCATGAGAATATGATTATTTTAAGTAAATTTACATGTTGTTGATGTAAGTTCCCGTCTTCAACATCGATAGCTCCAACAAATACCTGCAAACAAAAAATCTACACACTAGTGTGTTACTAAGTCCAACACACTCAGAATCCTAAAGTCAACAAAGGATTTAGTTGAAGAAGAACTAAAATGGGGTTGTGGGAGTGTACCTCGCGCCTCTGGTCTCTCCCCCTATTTATAGATTAGGGAGTCTCATTTGGATCAGTACGAGTGCTCGAGTCATGTCTGGTAGGGTGATTTGACCCGAGTGGCTCGACACTTGTTGTTTGTCTAACTTCAATTCATGTGAGGTTCGTAAGATAAATTTATTCAAATTAAATAGAATAATTTATATCCTATTTAATTTGTATTTGAAATATTTATAAAGGGAGTAAGGAAATAACTCAAACCGAACTAAATGTTTCATTTTATATCGTTGGTTAAACTGACTCATTATCCCAAATGCTATTTAATAACGAAAATCTAAAAGCCCGACGAAAACCCACCTAATAAATCAAACCAAAAGTCGAACTGATTTTTTTACCAAAAAGAAAAAAAAAATCCTACCCGACTCAATCCAACCCGACTACACCTTTAATAATAAAGAAAGAGATATAGGAATACCTCTAAACTAAACCCTAAAGAAAAGGGTTATTTATTAAAATTGGCAGCGTCCAAGTGAGGGGAAATGAAATGGGGTTGCAGCTATGAAGGGGACAGCCAAGAACACACAAATCAATTAAACTCTCTCAAACTCAAAAGTAAATTTTCTTTATTTATAAAATTTAATAAAATAAAAAAGTAATGGGATACAGCCAATCACAGCTAGGTGAATATGCAAATTCATTTCTGTGGGCCCACTCTTCTCTCTCTCTAAACTTTTATAACTTGAGAGAGAGAGAAATTGAATTAAAAAAATTTATAAAAAAAAGGGCCAATGGGACATTAAGTATCAGACCAATCTATTCAAATCTGCACTTTTTGTCGCCAACTTGTCTCATTTCTTTTTTCTTTTTAGCTTYTTTTTTTTTTTTTTTACCTTATGACCAAATAATTTATTAGTTTTTAAATTAGAAGTTGGAAAGATTGAAATCTTTCATCTGGAGAGGTGATGATTAAGTGTCAAATTATGCTTAGTTAGGTTTATTTTGACTTGTAATTTATTAGTTGGTGTATAATTTAAATATTGAAATCTCAATTTTATGGAAATATCGATGAATATTTATATAAAAAAGGTTATTAAAATAATAAATTCATAACAGATATTTAAATTAAAAAATAAATATTTTATCCGAATTATTAGTATGAATATTTTATTAATATTAGTGATATTTTGTTGATATTTGTTTTATATTTGATTAATTTTTTGGTGGTATTATGAATCTGATTCACTCATCATGTCGATGTTAAACTTATGAATATATGAAAATATCATATGTCGACGAAAATCTAACATGACATGGTAAGTTGTTCAAGTTAATTCACTCCTAATATTAAAAAAAAATCCGATGTACAAATTCAAAATCCGCTGAAGATAATATAGGGCATGAGGCCAATTTTTTCGTGAAGGGGCTTAAAGACACAAATTTATATGTATTAAATTTTGATCGTCTAATTTTATTATTACTTTTTTTTAGTATATAATATAATTTTATTAAAATATCTCTTTCGATACAAATAGTTGACTTCCAGTACAATTTAATTAATTTTAGTTTTGAAGATATTTTTTCAAATATTGTTAATTTTACTAATATTATACCTGCATTATTGTTAAAAATATTTCAAAGTTAAAGAGAAAAAATGTATAAATAATATATTTTAATAGCACATTTTATATATGGTATAGGTGAATTGATAAGATAAATTAAATGAATAAATATTAATAATATGTTGAATAAGATTAGGCGAGCCTGAGACAACAAACATAGATAAAATTATATTTTACTTTAAAGTTCCTAAACAAAATTTATATTTATTATTTAACTTTAAATCTCTCAATCAAGTCTATTTCATATTTATCAATATTTATTTGGATTTTTATGGAACTTTTGTCCATTAGATTATCATACACGGAACAGGCGATTTATGATACAAAATAGAGACCTACAAAATTATGAGGTTTTAGATAATCGCCTTATTCTCGCATATACCTTGAGCCGACACTGAGAAAATTATAGAATTGACATATATGCTGATATTAGAAATTTTGGATTGTTTTGTCTTTTAATGTTAAATATTTTACTTCTAGTCTATTGATTGAAGCGTCCAATAGGTTTAAATTTGGTCCGTATAATTTTTCATTACCTTTTCTCTTATCTCCCTAATGTCATTTTATAAATATTAATATAACATAAAGTGTGAAAACTATACTTTAGGAAAATACATTTGATTTTTGTAATTAAAGAAATAAATATGACCATAATCATTGTATAA